ATAATACAATATATTTTTTGCATTTCATCTAATAATTATACTTATAATAGTTTCATGCTTTTCTATCCCCATTTTCCAACTCATTTAAATTCTAAGAAATAAAACTTTAATAGCATACATTTTTTAACTTGATGAAGGCCCCCCCCACACACACACACACACGTAGCAATTGTCTACCAATATAATCCAAAATGTTAAGCTTAATTCAATAATTCCAATTTTAATACCTCAATATCACACTTTTCACCTAATGTCACTATAAATACTACTTCTACATGTTTTGCCAACTATTTATTTACCAGTATCTAATAATAAATTATAGTCTCAAATTTAAAACAGTCATCAAAATGATAGGTTACTGTCAATCAATCATTACCATGCTGCAAAAGTGCAAGTCATTTTTTTCAATTAACAACAAATTATTATGTTACCATATTTCATTGTCATTTTCTACCTTTGATTGTTCAAGGTTTTCTGTTGTGTATTTTGAATAGTTTGTTAAACATGAAATTTTTGGACCAGGTCCTTACAATAAAGCTTTGGGTTTTATATAGTGAGTTTAGCCACTTTTATCCATAATTAAATGCTTATGATCAAAATGTGGTTTTTAAGATACTTTCAACAAAATAATGGTCACTTGTACTATGCTATATGAGAAGTTATTATGCATGAAGTTACAATTAATTTAGATCTGATACAAAAAAAGGTTACTTTTGAGCAGATTAATCACCAAGAAAAACCTTCAGACGTTTCTTCAAACTAAAGTTGAATTATTAATTATATCTTTATTAAATACTTGCTTTAAAACCTTCAAATTCACTGCAATGATATTAATATTAGCATACAAAAAAAACTCAAACATATTAATAGTGACATTAGTTTTCCTATAGTTCAAAAAGTCTTTACTCTCCAGATAATAATTTCAAAAACTATTTCAGCTAATGTTTCATAATTTTGGCTTCATCAAGGCTAGTAGCACCAGAAATAAAGTTTTTTTATTATTATTATTATCTGGAGAGTAAAGGACTTTTGTTTTTGTAACTTTATTACCAAAATGTTTAAATCCCTCTAGTATGCATTACAGATTCAGAAAAACTTAGCCTATATGTTCAAGCAAACTCCATCTTAAATAAATGCTATTATAAGTTTTTTGGCTCATTTGTGACAGAAAAATAAAGACTAAACTTATTACATGTATTCGAAAATTGAACAATTGGCACTTGAATAAAAGTTTCAAAGCCTTTATGACAAGTTACATTGTCTTGCTGAAAATAAATATGCACAGAGCCCTTTCAAGAAACCTGTAATAATATATACATCAGCCACTGGTTGGAAGAGTTTCCGGGACTCAATGAAAGTGGCTTACTTGGCTTGTTTTGATTATTAATCATTGCACTGAATGCGAGTTGTGCTAACGATATAGTAAACAAAAATAATCTAAATTTCATGCAATCACCCACACATACCTTCTAGTAGATAACTGGAAACTTACAAAAGTTTAGTACCTGTTACTGAGATATTAATAAAAACCTACAGATCCAATTATTTACAATCTTAATGTCAAAAAATAATAAAACAAGATTTTCGATATAAGTCTTCACACAATGATTAAGTAAAGATGAGTAAAGAGAATTTCTTTAAAAAATGAAGTCAAAATATTGTAGTTCATGTTCTATCTTTCTGAAAACAATTTCTATGATTTTTGTATCAGGAAGTTGTATACGAGTGTCATGATATAAAAGACGATTTGGTTCAAGTATTAGTTATTATTTTATATTTATGAGTGAATATTTTATTATTTTTAAGTTTTGTTATAATAAGAGTTAAAAGCAGACAATTGTAGAAGGTTTTATTAATAACTAATTGATGTAGAGAATACAGAAAGTTGCCAGACGACTATGTAATAAAGATATAAATAGCGTGAGATGAGTGGGAAGCATCAGACAGACAGTATTAGACAGATAAAAGCAAAGAAAATACAGTTGGTGTGAAGTTAAGTAATATAAAAGTGATAGGGCTAACGACTGACATGGGCTTAATGTTTAATGTATATATATATATATTAGAGTGAAACTAACAGTGGAAAAGGAAATAAGAAAAAATAAGTTTATTCCATCAAAGCTAAATTCTAAAGTAATTGAATCATCCTGAGTGCACTTTGACAAAAAGAAAATAGGATCTTCAAAAGAAAGAATACCACAATCGTAATTGAATCACACCAGACTAATATTGTGATGGTACTACAGAAAATAGTTTGGCTTGTCAACTGAGATTCTAAAGTAATTGAACAGGCCTAAGTGGACTTTTGACAAGTAGAGGAGAACTATACATGTACTGATATAACATTTACAATATTTATATTCTTATATGTTTATATTCTCTATAATGTGAACACTTTATTGTACATATGTTTAACTTGTTCCATATATATACTACTTGAAAACAAGTAAAGTATGTGCTGTTTATTCATCCTTGAATTTATACCTAAGAAGTCACAGACACCTGCCGTAGAAGAATCCTAAGCCTAACAACTACATAGTATATATTTATACTATTAAGAAATATAAGTAAAAGCCATTTATTTCGACAATTGGCAAAAAGGAAAACCAGAACTCATAAAAAATATATATTATTTTTTTAAATCTGAAAAGACACCTTTTTTTTGGCTGATGATGCCACACCCATTTTTATGCATAATGTGTGTGAAAAAAAAAAATCCTTTGAATTTTAAGTATAAGAGATACCCTGGACAATAAATCAATATAATTAAAAAGAGAAAAAACTGGGTATAAGACCTATAAGATAGCTTCTTCCAAGAAAGGTTATTTACACTATGGCATTATAAGATGGCATGCATACACATACATAGTGTATCATAAAATGAACATTAGTTACATACAAAAGGATAAAGGTATGAAATAATACTATGAAGATGTGATAATACCATACTTCATAATAACAACCAGTTACAAGATGTACTGCAAATAGAGTTGTAAAAATAAGTCTTAATCAAGAAAAATAACCCATTAACCTATAAATAGGATAACAACCAAAACACTGAACTTTTTTAAAGTGCAAGGTCCATGTTTTTATGCTCCAACAACACTATTTTCCAAAAGCCTAAATTTAAATGAGCAGTATCTGTACAGGTGTTACATAAGGGTATGTCAACTGTAGAATAAGATCACACCATACAGTCTTAGGAACCAGCAGGGACTCCAAGACTGTATCAAAAACTTCAGTAATGAAAGTATTGGTAATTTAGTTTACTTTGAGAGCACTTACACTTACAGCAGGTCATCAGAATGGAATGAGGTTTTGAACTGAAAGAGTACCAACAGGATGAAGGATTTTTTTTAAGAGACCTACATGGTCACCCACCAAAAAATACAACATAATAGGAATCCAAGGTATTAAATAATGGACTACACATTAAGATTGCGACCATGATACCAAATGAAGTTGAATAAATAGACCGTGGGCAATTATTAGATAAAATAAAACAGATGCTATATGGATGTAGCAATCTGTCATTGATGCACCGATTTTCCTTATGGAATACAACCTAGTAATAAACATGTATGAGGGAGATGCAACCAACTGGCCTCATAAGTGTTACATTTTAGCTGCAGTACAATAGGACTGTACCCAAACAAGCATAAGATCATAGGCTGTTTCTGCCTATCTGGGGAACTGTTCATTTAACATGTATCCATTGCTTTTGGGTTAAACCATGCAGTTTTTATTCCATTTTTTAGGTGTCCCATTCCCCTCGTCTCAATGGGTATGGTTATGACCCTACACCTTAACTCAGCATTTGTGCAATCTTCAAAATCAAACAATTAAAATACAATATTAACAGCTTCAAGAAATATGTTTTAATAATGTTCAGAAAAATGATGCATTATAAGTATTTATTTTATTCTATGCACTTCATAATTGCATAGAAGGCTTTTAACATAGTAGACCTACAAATCCCTTTTTATGTGGAAACATTTCATCATTATCTGCCCAACAGGTATGCTCATCGTGGGAATCAACAACTCTGAACCTGCTGTGCCTTCAGGTAGTATAAAGTTGCAAGTGTGGTACTACCATGGATATGTGTGGATGGATAAGTCTTACAAAAATAATAGCAACCTGTTAAGTCTCTTTCCAAACCAAATATCTCATTCTGCTTTGATGATCCACTGAAGATATAAATGCTACCCAGAGTTAAATGGATTGCCTATACTTCCCATATTGAAGTTTTCTTTGTTGGCATGTAAAGCCTCTTATGATGCATTAGACATTTATGGTGTCTTCCCATTCAAAAATTGATGTACCATAAAGTTTCATGTAACTCTATATTTTCCACCCTTCATATTTAACATAGCAGTGAAACAAATTTCTATGGCAGTATAAATGATTATTTTCCTCTTATGTTACGGATAATAAGATAAACCTATGCTACTCACTGACCTTTAAAATATTTCTATGACAAATGTTAAGTGGTCCTTTATTGTTTCAAATGTATACATGAAAGGTAACAGAACAAAAAGTGTGCAATTTGAATTCAGGATAACAATAGGTTTCTATTCTAATACAAAATGGCATTTTTGGAATGGAGAGAAAAACAACAAACAAACAAACTAACCCCATTTAACTTACCTACATGTTGTTTTCTTGAAACATACAACTCAAAGTAAATTTCTCTCCATTATCTGGCAACAGCAACATGTACCTCTGAGAATTAAACTCACATACAAGTATTTGAACTATTAGCCAAAAGATGTGAAACTGGCAGAACTATAAAGTGTGTTAATAATTGTGCTGGAGGAAACAACATTACCATAAGGTTAAAATAATCTTGTACAGTGTTTTTAGATGGTGAAAGCTTACAGCAAAAAATCACTAAATAGCATTATATGTAAACATAAAGAAAAAAAAAACTTGGAGCTTTAGGAAACAGCAGATAAATTCCTTAATGGTTACAAACTGATTTTTTAAGCAATACTTACAACTGGGCTTCAACTGGTTAGCATGGCTTGATATTAGAAGACTGTCAGTGTTATCTGAGGCCAAAATTTTCTGTTTGATTTTCGCAGCAGTAACACAACACAGATGTGAGGACAAAGAGGAGGAAGCACAACCTTCAATATTACACGAACTGGACTTCTCACCTAGTGTGTGTACATACATTTTAACTCATCAATGCTCACACTACTAAATGCACATTACAAATTACAATTCATTCTGTCCTGTAGCATTGCATGCAGAACAATGCAATCTGATAATCACTATACGAAAAGTAACAATTTAAAACAGGTTAACACTTAGTCATCAAAAATGCAGGACTTTGTAAGTTCAAGCTGATTTCTTCAGATTACTTTTCTTATTTAAAATTATTACTGATGCTTCATGTCATACTTTCAAATCATAAGCTTATGCATCCAAAATTTTATATTATAGAGGGGATTAATTTCTTTCCTTATGACATGGAGTAAAATTTAAACTTTTAACACAGATCTAATAATAAAAAAAACAACTATAGTAATATATTCCTTAGAGAAAAAAAAATGTTCAGCTTGAAGTCAATTTTTCATACCCGAGAAGCATATCATAGAAATACAAGACTATTTTAGTTCATATTTAGTATTAGTATAACCTTATCACCTTCAAAGTATTTAGTTTGATCATGCATCTGTGGTTTTATGCAATTAGCACAAGTTTATTATTATCAATAATTGGAAGCAAGCAATGTAAACAATACCATGCAAGTTCTTAAAAACTATGTATATTTGAAAACTAGTAAGAAGGTCTACCGAAAACTACAATACTTCATAACATGTTTATAAAATGAACAAATCTTATCTAAAGGTTTGCATTGAATTAGTAAGGCAACATTTAAAAACTTTAGCTGAAAAAACAATTACAGAGAGCCAAGAAGAAAATAGAGAGGAAATAAACTTGAATATATATTGTAAAGTGGAGAAATGTAAAAGTAGCAAAGCTATACAAACAACAAACATTTCATGCAGAAATCATGCTTCTTACACAATCAAAACCTATGATACTCTCATTCACACATTCACAAGCAAATAGTAAAATTCATGTAGTTAAATGGAATATGATGTGGATGACTTGCTAGTAATGGATATATACAATATGTACTAGGTTGTCTTGCATTTTCAATTCTTAACAAACTGAACATTTATGAAGTTATTAAATTTTGTGAATTACTTTACCCACTCAGTGCATAATTATGAAATCATACATCTTTAAGTCAATTTCTTGAAATTGTTTTCAATGAAGTTTTCAGTGATAGATTTTGCTTGTATCTGCAATCATGTAAAATTAAACAATTTATGATAGTTCAAAGTATTCACTCGATTACTTTAACTAAGACAATAAACTTATCCAACGAATCTGTTAATTATGTTCTAATTACATACAAATAAACTAAAAAGACAAGTCGGATGGACAGCAGAAGTGAAATTTTATTTTCTTGACACAATACAGATTATTACATTTACTACTACACAATACTTCAGTATGCACTACAATTAATATATTAATTTTCACACAATAAAAAAACAAAAACTTTCAAAGCCTTTCCCATACCTTTGTTCATAGAACAAAAACTACTGGTAGCCCATGTGACCAGCTTGTTTTATTTTGGCACTACGTACTCACATTGTGTTACTTGTATCAACCAGAAAAATGAGAAACTGAGAACAAACAAGACCAAGTCATTTTTTTGTCTTTCAGAAAATGAAAATGTAGTACACGTGATGCAAAACAAAATGATAACAAAAAACATTTTTATCCAATTTATGTCAATTCAACAAAGTAATATCAGTTCTAAAGTCAGTTTTTATGGGAAACAATATATATATACCATGAAATTAAATAACACTTTTAGGCTGAACAAAAATAACTTAAAATCAAAGGTTAAAATACATGTAGTTTCATTTTCTAAATTTATTTTCAAGTAATTGCATACAAGAAACCTGGAAATTAATTATTAATATTTTTTTTAAATACAAACAGCAAGACTTGTGTCTTCCATAGTATCCAACAGATGTAGTGTCCATTACAACATGATATTTTACATTATTCAGAGATGATATCCTATTCTCAATTTAATCAAACTTACACATTTTATGATAAAATACTATGGCAATTGGCTAAAATTACAGTATCTGTAAATAATTTAAACCATTAAAAATATTATCCCAGAAAATTCCAAACTCCAATCATCTTTATTCAACTCAGGAAATCATAGTTGATTTGTTCATTTTGTATATACAAAAAAATTGATAGTATTATTGAAATTAAATGATGACAGATAATGCACAAGCAACTATTCTGCCACTGATAAACGTATGAAACTACTGCATATCCAACAGTAATACAGCTATATACTGTCACAACATGATTAGGAATGGACTTGTTATATGGTTTTGAGGATTGTACCCTACATAATTTTATGTAACTACATTTGAACCTATAAAAGTAGCTACATGCCAAAGTACAAAATGAAAGAAAATTATTATTATTTTGTTTTTTTTACATAACATTCTAAAACACATTGGAAAATATTATACAAACCAAGCATCTTCTACAGTATATGACCTTCCACTTATTGTTTACTTTATATAAAATGTTTCTTTTGCAATAAATGGTTGAAATTAAATAAAAACAATGGAATTTTTGAAATGACAAAGTAGGATTAACGTAAGCACAGTAGTCATAATATATTCCCAAATTCATAACTTTACCCATCAGTGTATTTTATATTCATACTTTCAATGAAAGAAATCAATTTATTCTTATGTCAATACTTGCCACTAGACTTCAAAAAATCCATTCACAACTTTTGCTCAGATGCAAGTTTCAAAATAAATTTCACAAACACATTTACTTGAAAACGAAAATCTTTAACACAGTATTAATAATGATCAAGATTCAAAAACATTAAAATCCAACAAAACAACATAGATACAACAATTTGTTTTACAATTTTTAAGCACAGCTTATGTGACTGTTTTACACACAATGTAATAGCAGGACCGACATATTTGTTACAACATTTATAAACATACATTTATCCAAGTATTAGTGAATTAAAAACAAAAAAAAAAAAACAACTGAAGAGACACCATACCCTTTTTTTTTTGCTTCAACTCCCAACACATGTAAAATTTTAGTACACAACTGTATGTGGTTTCTGAACTAAAGCTTATGATAGTAGGATTAAAACAAACAGACTTGTGCAAATTAATTCTTTATTATTGTTAAATGATCCTCTTTTCTAATAATCTTATATGTAGTATTCACATATTCTGATCAAACCACATACCAAAGTTATGCTTTGTTTCACTTCATCTGTCTTATTATATAACTACCATCACACATTTAAACAATACCAACAAATAAATATTGGTCTACTATGTAATGAAAATTAATATGCATTTTACAAACCCACTTCAAAGACGAATGCTATAAAAAATATTAGCAATCAGTATGCTGAATGCTGTATTTAATTAAAACAAAGTTTCATAAATATTACCTAAACTGAACTATGCTCTATGCAATATCATTTTCTTTCTACTCTAGTTCATATTTCAAGTTACTGTAGAAAGATAATTATTGCTATTTTTGTTTCTAGTTGCCAACATGAAGAATACCATAATTAAAATACTATATCTCCTTGTGTTTACTATTTCTAAAACATATAGCATATACTATAGCTTTAATACATATACTTAAAAAATGAAAATGTTCACTCGTATCTAATTTATCAGGAAATTCCACTCCACAACATAATTAACTATTTTTAACACTTAACAGCCAAACAACTTATTTTTTATGGTTCGAAATATTATCATACTGCTAATAATATGGTGAATGATCAATATGAAACATGGGAATTATGGATTATTATTAAACCACACAATAAATATAAATTCAATATAATAATTAACATTCTTACTTTTATACTGTTACTCCTACTAGAAATTACAATGCAAACATTCCCTGTAGAAAGCCCTCGAGTTTTCTTGTGCTACAGTGTCAGGTTATGCAATTTTTTTTTTCATGAGCAAAGTTTTGTTGTTCATGCACAGGTATAAGGTAATGTAATCAATTCTATATTTACTGTAATAAGAAGTTTCATAACATACTGAAATATTTTTTTAAGACTAAAATAATACAGTTACATAACTTAATTGCTTTTCCTTCTCTGGCAATTAAAATAAAGAACTCTTATCCTAAAGCGAGTTTTTGCAATTTTTGTATTGTGTATTGGTGATTAAATATATAAAACTTTGCTTTTCTTTCCAGAAAATAGTACAGCTTCTTAAAAAAATAATAAAAATCTTATTGTAAAACCACATGAAGGAATCGTGCAATCCGCAAGTTTGTTAAAAATAATAATAAAAAAAAATTAATTGCAATTATGCTATCCAACTTGTCTTCAGGTTCACTTCCCTAAAAAATTTTATGTTTACAGAATTAAGTGCAAATGTACACAATCGGCTATCTACACTATGAATACAGAAAGTATCAAACCAGAATTTTTAGTGTTATAATTCCTCAAGCTTACCACTCAGCCACCAGGGGCATATTTCTTAAGAATCAAACTTAGTAAAATATATTATTTTACCATGTTCATAAACTTTAATATATTTCTGAAATTTGCTCTTCTTCAAAACCTAACAAAAAAAATCTAGGCTTCATTTAAAGGATTAGTAATTGGTAAAGCCAAAAATAAGACTATGCTACAGGTGAAGGAAATGCTTCTAATTCTTCAAACAAAGCCTAGATTAAAGAATCAGTAAATAGCTACTGAAATTTTACTCACAATTTAGGTAAATGAACTATATTTAAACTTTCATGCTCAACTGCAAATCTATAAAAAAAATAAAAAAAAGTTGGTTAGGTTACTTTATAAATCAGTACAATATTCTTGTTTACTTTCCAAAAATTACTTACATTTGTATGAAAACCAGGCTTAGTATGCAAATTTTGTTGTTTCATTTACCATACAATATACTTCTATTGGTTTTTACAAAATTTTATAATCCTTGTAAACAGGTTTCCAAAAATACCTAACAAATATATGTATCATAGAGCTGCAATTAGTTACAGAGGTCAAGTGAATCTATCGGATAAGATC